TTAACTTGAGGAGTTCCTTCATGTGTAATACACAATTTCACCCATATTTCGTATGAGGTTGCACACGTGGAAACCCTATTATACTCATTGGGAGAAAGACCGCAAATTAAAACGTTCATGGCCTTTGCATTGAGATTGGCTTGGTGCCTTTTTCCATCGGTCATAGTCCCGACTTTGGGCTTTTCTATATATTTCTTCTCTATGAGTTCTAGGATGTCAAGATCATGCAACAAAGGTAAATCCTCATCCTAGCCTTCCAATAAGCAAAATTACTACCGATGAAAAGTGATGGTCTAGTGGTGGATTGTCCCTCTAGCATATGCACATTCATTGAAGCCTCCATAAGATCTTTTCTCTAAGATGGTTAGATAAAAAACTAATATAGAGACCAAGCTCTGATACCAATTATTGGACCCTAGAGGGGGGGAGGGGTTAATTAGGATCTTAAGGCTATAATTATGCAATAAAAATAAGACAAGCAATACACCACAATAATGAACAACAAATGTAAAGGAGATAGAGTAAGAAATCATTATCCAAGTGACGCGCGATGTGTTAACGAGGTTCGGCCCGCTAACCTACGTCCCCGCTCCCCACTCTCGAGGAGAATCCACTACACAACCCGGTTTGGAAGCCGAAACTTTCTCTACACAACAATCTCCACGAGATCTCACAACTACACAGTTGATCACCACAAGATCACACTCCCACACAGTTGATCTTCACAAGATCAAGCTCTCAACAGTAATAATGGTGTAAAAACTCTCTTTACAATGTCCCTATGGCAAAGAGAAAGATTACACTGAAGCTGTGATGTGAACACAGGAAAACAGGTTTGAAATTTTTGGCTCTCAGTAAAAGAAAATCTCTTGTTTTTCAATGGCTTGGGACACTTGAGGAAGAAGGAGTATAGGGGGTTTAAATAGGAGAAAATATAGCTGTTTAAATCCATACCCTAATCCCCCAAATCCAGGAAAAATCGGCGCTGAAATCTGTACCCAAAAGACCGTTTGAAATAAGTGGCGGTCGACCGTACAATTCTCGTGGTCGACCGCGAGCCAGCTTAGAAACTTAAAAAATTTTTAGAGAGTTCTGCGGACGACCGTGGAGGTCGACCGTAGGAATTTTCGAGCTCACGGTCGACCGCGGCGGTCGACCGTGAAAGTTTTTGCTGCCCACTGACGAAAAGAACTCAGACGCGGTCGACCGTGGCGGTCGACCGCAAACTGATACTCATGAAAATACTAATTTTGACTCTCTTAAAAAATCTGTAAAATTTTTAATTGACTTTTAAAAATTGTTAAACTTTGTAAAATGTTTTTAACACTAAAAACAAATTGTTTGGAAAATGAATTTTACGAATATGTCCTCATACTTGTGAAAAATGATATTTTGTGAAAACGCTCAAAACTATAAGTATGAAAACGTGTGTGTGATATCCCAATAGCTTCAAATTCCTCCATGTATGGTACTAACATGCTTGATATATATATTAACTACATTATCACTCAACAAGCAATTAGTACCGATAATGGTGGTTGTAAAACATCATCAAAACAAGAGGGCTAACAATCTCCCCCTTTTTGATGATGACAACCACTAACATGCTTGATATATATATATATATATATATTAACTACATTATCACTCAACAAGCAATTAGTACCGATAATGGTGGTTGTAAAACATCATCAAAACATAAAGGCTAACAATAAATTTTCTAATTTTGTATAGTTTTCTCTCTAATTCTTAGTTACAAATGTAGTTTGAAAGTAACCCTATATTTAGAATAATTTTCTTTCAATTTTGATAAATAATATGGTTTGGTTAAAACTTGATAGTTAAATTTGAGATACGTTTAAGTAGAAATAAGATATGTAAAATTTAATTTATGAATAATATAGATAATTTACAAATGATAAATGTTAATATTTCAGTTCCGATGACAAACAGAATACCTATTATTTGTTTCTTCAATGGAAGACTGAGCGTTGAAATGAATAATATGCCTATATGTGAGGAAGGATCTAGAAAAATGTTCATGTTATCTAAAAATTGCAACTTCAATGGAATGATGAAGGAAATATACGATTACTAGAATTAACCATGGAGAGTATGCAACTAAAGTGTTCTATAATTGGCTGATAAATAAAAAAAAGAACAATTGCTATAGAAAATACCAATGATCAAGAAATGATTGATATAGTACAACTTTCAGAAAACCAAATCTCAATTGAGTTGTTCATTAAAAATTTCCTATTATCTAGTGTTGCTAAGCTTTTGAATGCTCCGGAAGAGTTCTTCCGCATGCTAGACTTAGAAAATAACTCGAGCGAATTCATTTCATCTCCAAGTGCCATGCACTTAAAAAATTACACAATGAAATGATGTTGACTCAACTACAACATTTAAGCGGGCCTTCCAATTGTGCAACGTCAAGTGATATGTCTGACAATGCTTCAAGTTATGTTACAGATAATTTACTGGTTGGTTCAATTGTAGAAGAATATGAGGATGTAGATGATGATTTTGAAGATGTTAAAGAAGAGGAACGACTTGATAGATGCAGTGTGCAACTGGAGGAATCAATGAGGACACATGTTGGATGAATTTTGTGTAAACAACGATTATGTGGAGTCTGAAGAACCATTGCCAGAAGAGTTTCAAAATGAGGAATGGATAAATGCCTCATAAGCTAAGTTTGTTGATCTTGGTTCTAATTTTTGTTGATCTTGGTTCTAATTTTGAACTACCCGAAGACTTCACTTTCAAAAAAGGAGATCTATTTGAGAATAAGGAAAAGTTGATTTTCACTATATGTGAATAATGGTTAATCAAGAATAAGGTCAAATTTAAGCCGATGAAAATTAATACAACTAGTTACCATGTAAAATGCTATTTCAATGAGAAAACTCAAGGAGAGTATGCAAGTGTTCAAGATGAAAAAAAATTCAAAGTGTCCTTGAAAGCTTAATGCAACGATTAGAAAAAAAAAAAAATCTAATGGGCAATTTATGATCTCTAGCTATTGCGGACTTCATACATTTTGCAATTCGAATGTCAATGTCGATCATAAGATAGTAACTTCCTCTTATATCTTGAAGCTAATTATTCCCGAAGTAAGGAAAGAGCTTCATCTGACTCCAGGTCAGATAATTACAAGGGTGTACGATATAAGAAAAATAACTATATCTAAATATAAGGCATATGAAGACGTTGACTAAAATCTTGGGAGATTAGGAGAAATCTTATGAATTACTTCGGCAATATCTTGAAGAAGAGGAAAAATTTGGATACCGAATACGAAATATTATCTAAAGAGATTACACCGGAAGTGGAGAGGCTCATGCAGTATTTACTACTTAATCTATTTAGTTGGTATTACTACAGTTTGCTCATATATATATATATATATATATATATATATATATATATATAT